CGCCAGCACCTCCGCAGCACCTCCGCCACCACCTCTGCCACCTCCGCCACCGGCCCCACCACCTCCTCCACCACCACCTCCACCGCCATTAATGCCGCGGTCTCCAACGGCCCCCAAATCCCCTCGCCAACCAGCTCGGCCACCAGCTCGGCCAAGTGCCGCAATCTCCCCACCAAAGCCCACTATGAAGCCGCCTAACCCCATTATGAAGCCGCCTAACTCTCCTCCAATGTCGAGTACTTTCAAGCAAGGCGGCTTATGGGAGGTCGACCCCAATGTCGAGACAGTCGGTAAGTAGCTCTGCAGCACTGCATGGGTCCGCAATGAACTTGTTGTTGTTGTTGTTGTTGTTGTTGTTGTTGTTATTGTTGTTGTTTTTGTTGTTGTTGCTCCGCGTGCGATAGCGGGCGCTGCCGGGTTAGGGGTCAAGGACCCAATCAGCTGCAGGTCAGATTGTGCGTCCGTTGCCGCTTTCCGTAATTGCTTTGCGTTCACCGCGTCGAAGCAAGCGGCATGGAACCGCACCTTGCTTCCCCAGCTGACCCCACCTCCGCCATCAGAATGTCTAGAATGTCGGCGGGGTGATGGATTGTATGTGTCAGGGCCCTTCCGTCCTCCCACCACACGCACGCACGCACAAAGGAACCTAGCTGGCTAGCTTGCCACTACTACGGTAATGAGGTGGCAGTTAGGAGGGTGGAGTTACCGCCTATGCAGCTAACATCCCGCCGCCTCGCACTGTGCGTGATTATCACCTCGATTTTGCATGTATCTCTTCCGCCCGTCGGCTCCCATCCCTGATAACGAACACCGGTAGCGGCGGGCTGCTGATGCCACGCATGCTATTTAGTACTTGCCCGTCGCTGCTCAATAACCGCTCGCTTCGTAAGGGCGGGTAAGCGGCGGGCAGTGGGGATCTTCCTGCAGTGAAAGAGCAAAGACTCGACTATTGTCCGCGATCCCTGGACTCCCCGCTTACTTTATTATGTGTGTCACGTATGTGCGTATGTGTGAAATGATTGATTTTGCAGCTGTGGTGGGAAGGTGGCTCTTCGTGCTTGAGCCGGCCTCGGTCTTCAGCTTCCCCCAGGCCGAGTCCTTCTGCCTTCAAAACAGCGCTCAACTGGCGCCGCTAAGCAGGCGGGAGAGCATTGGTACGTTGGTTTGTACGGCGCCCTACAGTTCGTAGTTTCATACATCTGATCCCCGCAAAGATAGGCCCGGCCACATGAGACCTGACGCTATGCAGACTGACTCTATGCAGGCTGCGCAAGTATGTCTAAATGGCATTATGGCTTTATGGCATTATCGCCATCAGCAAGTGGCAAGCTGGTAGCGCAGCCTAGCGGACTTCAGTACCGATAGATGGGGGTTGTGTCGCCAGCACCGTCAGCTGCTGCAAAGCTACTGTAGCTGTTGGCGCCATAATGGTTGCCTACCAGCAGGCAGCAGATGGCTACGGAGCTGGCAGGAGGCAAGGCTATGTCGTCACGTCTCAACCTGAAAGAAGCAGTTGTCTGCTGTGCTAACCCCGCTCGCTTGCCCCGTCCCCGTCCCCCGTATGTATCCTGCTGCTTGCTCTGAACAGGGAACGAAGTGCAGACTCGCAGCAATGGCCGTTGAGCCGCTGTCCACCGACAGCGACAACACTACGCACTGCTAACCTAATAAGGGTGTACTAGACATGACCCGCCGGGGTTAATAATCCCGCATGCGGTCCGCATGAGGCTCGTTAGCACTAGGGGGCCCCACACCAGTCGGTATCCTAAACAGGACCCTAGACAGCTAGAAGCAACCCCTTGTCCTAAACAACGCAACACCACTACCAATGGCCGTTACCCGCCGAGTATTTCGCCTGGCTACCTGCCGCCCAAAACATAAGCCCCGCGTATGTCCCAACATGTTCCCTCCGGATAAACAATATGTGTGTACAGACGCGCTGAGTCAGCTGTGCGGACGGCAGGGCAGGGATTGCTGGATTGGCGGCGAACCTCAGCCGGGTGGCATCTGCCCGGTGTATGGAGCGGCCAGCCTGGCGGCTGACCGGATCAAAGCCGCGCCTTGCACCGCTAACGCTTTTGCAGTGTGTGCCGTGGAGTTCATGAAAGAATCGCCGAGCGAAAAACGCACTGCTCTCCCGAACATGCAACCGCAACAGCAGTCGCTCAGCCAGCTGCTTGGCACACAGCTTACAGCGCAGCTGCCGCAACAGTTGCAGAATCAGCTGCAGGCACTTTACAGGCAGCTGCAGCTGCAGCAGCAGAAACAGAAGCAGCAACAGCAGCAGCAGAAACAGCAGCAGCAGAAACAGCAACAGCAGCAGCAGAAACAACAGCAGAAACAGCAGCAGGTGCAGCTCCAGAGGCAGCAGGTGGCGGCGCAGCAGGTGCTGCAGCAGCTGGCAGCAGCAGCGGTACAGCAGGTGGCTCAACAGCAGCAGAGGCTTTTGCGACAGCAGCTAGAGCGACAGCAGCTAGAGCGACAGCAGCTAGAGCGACAGCAGCTAGAGCGACAGCAGGCGGCACAGCAGCAGGGACTGCAGGGCCCCTAGCAGGCCTAAGGTACGAGCGAGCGACAGCAGCGCACCTGTCTGCGCCGGAGTTTTCTGGATCAGTCGATAGCAGGAACTTGCATTACTTCAATCAGCCGTTAGACCAGCAGCTAGTGAAGTCAAGCGTGGCTTCTACACCTGCCGGCAGTAACAAACAGGGCTGAATCACCTCCCCAGCGGCCTTACCTGCTGCTTGGTGAGCGGGCACCGGTGGGGTAACGATCGATGGGGTTATGCGCGGAAAGGGACCAGCAGTAAACATGTAGCAGCTGCTCTGTGCTAGCTAGGTTGCTGGACGCACGCACGCTCGGAGCAGCCAGGCGGGCAGGGCACGTAAGTGACTAGTGGCTGGGCATCAAGGTCGTGATCGATTCCCAATCGCGCCTTCACATTTCATGAGCACCTAATAACTGGACTCGGCGGTCGATGCGATGCGTGGCTACGCCGGCCTGTGATCCGTGCCGTATGGCATTCACATTCGCCTTGACCGTATGTATGTACGTATGTATGTATGCCTGGCTCATATAACTTACAAAGCAGGGTGTGTTTTGTGGCGTTCATGGCCCCCCTGCCTGCACTTTATCAAAAAAGTGCAGAAGACAGCCGTGCTAGCTAGCTGCCCACCTGCAGCCTAAAGGGGACTGAACGGCCTGGCCGTACGCTACGCTGCTGCTGCAGACCTGAAGTAAGCGTGGTTAAGCGGTTGCCTAGATAGGTGGGGTTGCCTCACATGCGTGATAACCGGGTGCCTGTCCGGATGTTAGAGCGAGCAGTGTCAGAGCGCTAATAACATAAATCATTTCGAATGAAGCACTGAATTAAAAATTTGTGATCTTATGTGATGAGTACACAGTGCCTAGGTTGGAAATATATTCCATCGTGATCTATCCTATCTGCTACTGCTGCTACTGCTCCGAGTCCACGGCGTTCCACCCCACCACGGTATCCGTACTTGGTTGGCGTTGGCGCTTACGACGTTGCCGATTTTGTGTTGTATTCTCTAAAAGGAAATTTTCGTTGTGCGACGTGGATTTACAGGTGTACGGGAATGAGTCATGGATCAATTGCATAACCGATGGCCTTGGCAGTGCAGTTGCCCTGATGTAACAGTAAATTCCGCAGCTCCATATTAGATTCGCCTTTGCAAGATCATAACATGCATACTGTTCCACTCGTGGAACAGTATACATAAACAACACAGAGTAGTAATTTGTGTGAAGCGCCGATATGTAGCGCACGACGGATTCCTATACTTGAGCACCCGTGGCAATCTTCCATGGTGGCTGGGGGAATGGCAGCGCGCCCCGCTACCGCTATTTTTCCCCCCCCTCTTCCCGCAGTCCGAAAAATAGCTGGCTGGCGCGATTTCGTCGGTCGAAAACTTGGGAAGTAATGGACTGCCAACGATGATTTCGCAGTACATCGGATGTAAATTTCAAGGCTGAAATTGAAATTGGTTCCAGGTTGCCCAAACGTGCATCGTACGCATAACATCGCAAACAGGCAAAATCCCAATAATCATGCTGGCGGTGCGTCCTGCTGCTCCCCGGCAGTCACGGCAGTAGGTATGAAGCTAGGATCGCAGATACCACTCGCCCCTGATTACGTCCGCACTATCAGCATCTGCGTGTCCTCGGCCATCATCAAGAGCGAGCGCTTTACAATGCGAGCAGCTCTGGCGGACAGATTTTAACTGCAACACCTACCGCTTGGGTGACGTCTGGTCTCCAACAGCGCCATCCGTCAAGTACCTTACCCTAGCACCCGATCGATGAATGTAGAGTGAGGTGCAAGTTGGAGGGTAGTAGTGCACGAGAGCGTCGATGGCGGATACGTTGCATCAACATGCCGCACGTTGCGGCTGCTGCGGCGGCAAGCAGCAATAAGCGCGTAATAAGTGTCCTTAGGTTGCCTTCTGCGTTGAGCGAGTCGCCGGGGGATCCTCTAGAGTG